AAAACACATTTATATTGAAAAATTGGTTTGTTTCTACAAGTAATATTTACTTTTAATACCTTTTAGGTAATCCAGCAGAACTTGAATAACCCTTTATACGCCTTCAACTGCAAGCCTGTGTAGTAACTGTGGGTGTGGGTCAAATATACGGATAAATCCAAAATTGAAACCTCTGGCAACTCATTGATACTTAAAGTAAACTCATTAGGTAGAAGTTTATAAGGATCTATATTGGCAATTATTTGTATTTTTTGGTCATACCGACATTTCACATCACTAGCTAACGATGAATAATAGTCAATGTTAGCCATTCTACCACAAAAACAACTTAAAACTTATTGAGAGAATTTAAGAACGCAATAATTCGGAAACACAATCTCAAAGAACGGTGTAAATACTGATCTAGGCTTTGTTTGCCCCCCAGCGGACCTGTTAAAAGTCACGTGACCTGGAATGCCTAATATATTCACTGTTTATTTTTAGGTAATTTGTTGAATCTGGTATTGTGATTATGATTTTACAACTTGTTATAATTGATTTATCATATTTATGCTTCGAATATCTATAAGACATGTAAAAAAATTGTCACATTTTAGGTTAGTATTTTTATATTTTTTGTCAAAATTAGGGTTTTTTCAAGGCCCACGAGTTATTTGAACCTTTGAAGTACACTTTCATCAGTAAACTTGGGTTTGTATATAAATTTCAATGCAGATTGACGTCTATCTGCGAATTATATTTGTGTATATCACTCATAGTTAATAAATCAAAGATCGTCCATTACAGATGTGAGCCTAAACTATGTTTGTTGAAAATTATGGCAAAGTAGAAGAATTGATAAAGTTTGGTTAAGTCTCTGAAGTTTTAAGATTATAAATTTTGTTGCCAATTTTATTTTAAAAAATTCCATTTGTACTTCATTCCCTCTATTTGGCTTTTTACCGCGGCCTAATAGTTTTATCATGGACTTAAAATAAGTTTTATGAATGCTGTCTGTATAGCTATAAAACTTTGTCTTTGGAAACCCCCAAGCTTTAAAAAGGCTTTATTAAAGGCTGTTAAAGCAATCTTAGGAGTGGGCCCTTGCAGTCTTAAAAGAACTTTAAAAGGGTTCTTTAATGGTTGCTAAGGCAATATGGTTTTATGAAATATTTTTATTCTAGGTTTTATAGTAGCTCTTAACACTTCTTTAAAGCTAAAAATGTTACTTGGGTGGTCTTAGAGCAAGAAGATCATCTGTAGACCACTTATTTAGTTTGAATTATAGATGAAATACTGATAATGAAGTTAATGCTGTCAAGCTCTGAAATTTTGAATACCGTCTTCAGGTATTATTAGTAAAATAGTCCGTCTGAATTTATGTCGTTATCCTAAAGTATATAGGACAGATAGTAAAAATTAACAAATTAAAGTTCAAATCCCAATTGTTCAAAGGACTTTTGAGTGACTTCTTGAGTTGACATCTATTCAACAAATCATCGCTTTTACTTCTGAATCTTGCTCTGAATATGAGATGATCTGAAAAAAATGTATGTGGAATTCTTATTGTATTTCAAAAGGCGGGGAGGGGATATTGACGGTGCCTTGTATTTTTGTTTTGGAATCTGTGAGTTTGATTTATAAGAAGTTCTCTGGTTTTGTACAGAATAGCAGTTATAATCTGCGTCAAGTCAAATTACCCTTACCAATACCAAAGTACGCCTTAACAAAACAGTCCATTATTTATGAGAGTATTAAAATGTTCAACCATCTGCCTGAGGAAATTAAGAATAGTGGTACTTATGAAAATTTTAGAAAGCTTGTAAAGAACCATCTAGTCCCCAAGGCATACTATAGTATTGGCGAATTTTATGAAAATTAAATGTGTCTATTGTTTTAACTTGTGTCAATCGGTGCCTGCTAGTTTTTATTTTATTTTATTTTTTATTTTATTTTGATTTTATTTTGATTTTATTTTGACTTTATTTTGATTTTATTTTATTTTATTTTATTTTTATTATTTTTTTAATGTTTCGAAATGTTTGCCTATTGTTCGTCGATTTTAATCTGATACTCGGACGGAATTTGAGCTGGTGGCTCCATTCATTAGAACGCGAGGGGGATTTCAGTAGTGGAACTGTGTACACTAAATTACCACTTCTCCCAGAAATTACCACAAATTACCAGTAATTACCTCTAAATTACCACTCATTTCCTCTATTACCTTTCATTGCCTCAGGAATTACCACTCAATGCCACTCAAATTACCACTTATTACCTCTTATTTCCGCTAAATACCACTAATTACCACTGTCAATACCACTAATTACCACTGTCATTACCATTGAATGCCACTGAAATTACCACTAAATACCAGGAATTTATTCCAATTTTCAAGTATATCCGAGATGTTAAAAGAAGAGCGAATCAAGATGTTGAAAGTTGAAAAAACGAGATACTCAAGAAGGCATTGTATAACATGTCTCGAAGAAAAAAGGATTCCAAAATCCTGCAAAAACTCAAGTTTCATCTTCTATAAACTGGATAAAAATAATGTGATTGATAATGAACGAACAAATGATGTTAAAAGAAGAGCAAATCAACATGTTGAAAGTTGAGAAAGAGAAACACTCAAGGAGGCATTCCATCATGTCTCGAAGAAAAAAGAATTCCAAAATTCTGCAAAGCAAAAACTAAAGTTCTAGCTTCTAGAAACTGGATAAAAATCATTTGTTTGATGTTGAAGGAACAGATCGCGATGTTAAAAGAAGAGCAAATCAAAATGTTCAAAGATGTAAAAGAGAAGCACTCGAGGCATTTCAACATGTCTCGAAGAAAAAAGGATTCCAAAATTCTGCAAAGCAAAAACTTAAGTTCAATCTCCTAGAAACTGGATAAAAAACATTTGATTGATGTTGAAGGAACAAATCGAGATGTTAAAAGAAGAGCAAATCAAAATGTTCAAAGTTGAAAAAGAGAAACACTCGAGGAGGCATTTCAACATGTCCCGAAGAAAAAAGGATTCCAAAATCCTGGAAAACTCAAGTGCAATTTTCTAGAAACTGGATAAAAATCATTTGATTGATGTTGAAGGAACAAATCAAAATGTTAAAAAAAGAGCAAGTCAATATGTTGAAAGTTGAAAAAGGCAGACACTCAGGGAGGTATTCCAATAAGTCTCGAAAAAAACGGGTTCCAAAGTCCAGCAAAAACTGAAGTTTCACCTTCTAGAAACTGAATAAAAATTATTTGATTGATGATAAACGAACAAATCGAGATGTTGAAGGAAGAGCAAATTAAGATAATGAAAGTTGAAAAAGAGAAACAGTCCAGCGGAGGCACTTCAACATGTCTCGAAGAAAAAAGGATTCCAAAATTCTGCAAAACTTAGGTTCCATCGTCTAGAAACTGGATAAAAATCATTTGATTCATGTTAGAGGAACAAACCAAGTTCACTATCAGCGACTTTAGAACATTCCGACACTATTTCGGATTCCATCTACAATACGAAAATATGAAAAAATACGAAATTTCACACGCCTTTGCAGTTCCTCACACATATTTGCGTATTTGGCTTGGTAATTGGCATCCATCTAGGATAGGTGAAAATCTTGAAAATTGAAACTTGAGAAACTGAGAGACAGAAACACATAAACACCTAATATATTTGTAGCTATTTGCCGAATGTGTGATAGAGGCTTAAGGTATTATAATAATATAACAAGAATGTAAAGTTTGTTTCGCCAGGGTTTGTACTTGCCACCAGCATTTGCCTTCCTTGTTTAACAAATAGAAATTGACTGAAACAAATCAATTACGTCAAAAACTTTCGTCGATTCTTAAACCAGAAGTCATTCATTTTAATTTGTCAAAAAAATTGAATGTGTCATATGAATTAATCTACGACAACCCTTTTTTTTCAAGTTTCAAGGTCAAGTATGAACCCTGGTGAAACGGACCTTACTCTATCTATCACATTTACCTTTTCTTCTAGACGTAGAAACACCAAAACACAAAACTGGGCCTTAAATGAGACGAGGACTTGAAAGTTTTAAAATGAGCAGTAAAAACGACGTTCATAGATGATGTCAAACCAAGTGTTGGACAATTGCAAGGTTGCCACTTCTCATATAATGGAACCTCAAATGGAACATTCCTTAGAAAATGAAAGTTGATGTTTCTAAACTGACTAATAAGTAATAGGGACTCAGAAGAATATTTTACTTAAATCTTGGTTGAATAATTTACAGTTAAAGCTCTGTTAGTTCTAAATTAAAGCAAATTCGAAGGCATATCATAATTTTATCACTACAGAACTTTGAGGTATTACCACAAAATTTCCTTTAATTACCCCCAAAATTGCCTTAAATTGCCTAAAATTACCAAAAATTACCCCGAATTACCACTATATTTCCACTAAATACCAGTCATTACCACTAATTTCCAGTCATTACCACTCATTTCCTGTGAAATTTCCACTAATTACCACGATTGTGTACACTAAATTACCACAATGAAATCCCCCTCGTTAGAACGCCAATGGTTACCTGACGTCGCACCTGTTTTTGCCATATGAAACACCCCCTCGCTCCTCATACCGCAAGTATCAGTTAAAAATCGACGAACAATATACGTCATTGGATTTTAGGGACGGATTCTAAGTTTTCAAAGTTTGTTTTCATTATTTGTTTGTTAATTTTTTTTTTACATTTTATTTATGCTTGTGTCGTGTTCATTATTGAAAATTATTGTAATCCTAGACATAATCTAGCTTAAGTATTTGCTTTGTGAATAAGACTTTTTTTCTCTTTGGTTTTCTGACAATAAAGCTTATTTTGATTTGATTTGATTTGAATAACCATAAAAGTTTGAAAATTTGGTGTTATGAAGTTGGGACTTGACTAACCCTGTACTTTATATTTGTTTAAAAAAATCCTCAATATCTTTGTTGTTGCTTCTGGAACTTTTGTAATTCGATTTCTTGTTCATTTTTAAACAATACAAATACTTTTTTTTTTCAGCAATTGTACCTAGCTACCGGAAATTCTGGAAACTACGAAACACAAATCCCGCTGGCCGTGGCGGAACCAGTCGAAGGCGGCCCAAGTTCAGTCGGTTCTTTCTGCTCAAATAACGAGGACTCGACGTTCTGGAACAGTTCAGGGGAGCAACTTTGCGTCGTTTGCCAGACTTACCCGTTGTCCAGAGCACTTTTACCTTGCAGGTTAGTACCAATTAATTAACAGAAAATAGATGGATACTAAAATTAGGCTAATATTCCAGACATACTTGTATCTGTGCAAGCTGTTTCAACAAACTGGAACGTTGTCCCATGTGCCGCGGGCCCATCAAAAGCTACTTCTGTATCCGAGGAGAAGAATATCTGGACACAAAAGAGACTACCGGGAACAGCAATTCAAAAAACGAAGAGAGACCACCGGCAGCCAGGCGCCGGTGGTTTAACGGTATCAATTGGGACGATCGACTCATTGACTTTTTAGGATTTTCACGGTAAAATGATGTAAATATTGTTATTTATTAATTTTTGGTCTTTCATTTATTGATGATGCGGTTTGTTTGTTTAAACGAGGATGTGTATTATTGTGTGGAATCACAAATTGGTGAACATCACATCAAAACTGAGCAGTGGGCAGTGATGTACTATTCATAATAAAATATTTAATTACGCTTGGATTCCTAAATGCGACGTTATTTTTTTTAAATTGCAAAAAATTAATTCCGTATAATAATCTGTAACTCATAATAATGATCTCATTGCATTCAAGATAATTACCTACTCAGTATTTAAATAATTATTAAAATTGTATTTTCCATGTGAATAATATACATCCTTAATATTTTAAACGCACGACTGATCAAAACATATTATTTGTTTAAATTATTAACTATATTCTTGTAGAGACGCAAAATTCAAACTATTCTATTATAGTTTGTAAGCGTCATTATCATTTAACAAGACACTGAAATCAGATTTTAGAGATATATATCTTCAAGTTATATGTATAGAATGTCCAGAAATGTGGTGATATGTTAGAAATAATTATTTAAATGGAACAGAAAGATTGAGGTTTTACAAGTCTGCACTTAAGTACGTATTTTATTATACCATTTGATCAAACATTTCGTCATATATCACAACACAATGAGGTTATTTGAAGTTATTTTGGTATAATATCCTGAGACTTCTTTGACCAAATCTCTTTATGTAAATGGCGCATGTGCAGACTTGAGCTGTCAATTCTATATTATTCCTAGTCTCTAGAACAATGTTGGCCATACTTTGTGTGTAGAAGAAAACTAACAATAATACTGTAACCTATCTGAATCTGTCTTACTTGTTATACTGGTTACAATAATTATTAGCCAGCATTGTTCCAGATACTTATGGCATAGAATTGGATGGAAACCATGAAAAAATATATTCCAGAGGTCTGCAACTTGCAACCTGCAAGACGGTAGACTTCGCCAATTAGATAAATATGTAATTGTTGTTAGATTGCTCTGGATTAACACAATTACCTATAGTGGAGCAATCTAGTAGACTGTTTTATGTCAATATTCAATTTAAATTGTTGTCTTAGCCTCTATAGGACATCACTCACTTGGAACATTATACTTGTGATAATTTATTATGTAGTTTTTTTGTTCCTTTTTTGATGTCTATTAATTTTTCTTTTATTGTTAAATTCCCTGTTTTATTTATGTTTATTTAGATTTAGAATAGATAATTATTATTTTTTGTTTTAACGATCCTCAATGATCTTTCCTCCTAATGCAAAATAACCTCTGAAAATTACTCTTAAACTAAAAATGCCAGAACTAACCCAATTAACGGTAATATAGTATCGTACTAACAGTATTTCTTAATAAATAAAAGCTTTGTTAGTCGAAAAGCTAAATTTTTCAAGATGGCCTATACTCCTTTTCTGTTTGACATTTGAGCAACTATTGTGCAATAGACGCATTTTAATATGTATATACATAATTGATTCTATATTTAGAGTCTAACTAAAGACAAGTTTATATGTATAGATATAGGTGGATAGAGTAGGTCTGTTCTATAATAGAATGTGGTCCGAAATATAGAGTAAGCCAAGGCAGAAATTATTAAGTTTAGTTAAATAATATATAGTATTTTTTTCCTATTCTCATTCAGACCACTTTCTACATTAATTCGTAAAGTATACTATACGTTAAAATTAGATTACATTATGATACTATGCCTGTGATAATACATTACATAAAAGCAGAATTGTGTTTTTTTTTTTATATTTCCAACTGTCAACTAGTAAATTTGAAGACGCCACAAGACTATTATAGGCTGCTCATATGCAGGACAAAGATGTAGTAGTTGTAGTTTGTTACTGAGAATGCCAAAGTGTTTTGAGATGATAATAACAGCTTTAGAGAACATAGATTCAGATGATTTAACGATTGATGTGGTAAAGTCAAAGCTACGAAGTGAAGTAGAAAAAAAAAAGAGTTATATCTATCACTATAAAGCAACACAGAAGTGCTAATGTACAAAAACCAGCAGGTTTTAGCACAGACAAAAATTTTTGTTACCAATGTGAAAAAAGTGGTCACTTTTAGGGAGAATGTCCTTTGTTATTTTCACAAAATCCTACATCAGAAAGAGATGGTTTTTATTTGAGAAGACATGAGGTTTGTTCCAACACGTCAAAAACCGTGAAGGGTTTCAAAACCTTTCTGAATTTCGGGTTCTACCCATACATTTTTGGCTTTTCGCAGAATCGTGACGATACATTGTACGGTTTATTGATGTATTGGAACAAAGCTATTTTATTCAAGATTTTTAAAAAAAGTTATTGTCAAGGCAACAATTGAGGTGATTTTCAAGGCAGACGTAGCTTTAATAGCGGTTTTGTCCATAATGAATGAAGGTAGTAGAAATAATAGTAGAAAAAGTTACAGCAAGAAATAGAGGTAGCAATGATCAAAGGAACTACACTGACTCTCAAAAAAAAATTATAGGAAAATTAAATGAGTTTTATGACCAGTAGTGGAACGCTTGTTTGGGGTTACTAGTCCCCCATCGGGCGCCTCCCGGATATGAGTGGTACCGAGGAAATGAAATACTCGGGGCGGACCAAAACTAGCACTGAGCAGCGGTAGCAACGGCCGTTTCAAAATTATCCACAGGCAAAAGTTCCAAAAGCGTTATTAGCTCAGTCCTGCGCAGACCTTCAATGGTCAGAGGGTGCGAAGAATCTCCCAGCCAGCTCTGAAAATTTGCAGCTGGAATATCAGAAGTAGGTATGTTTGAAGCAAAAATAATCCATAATAGTCCCCAGTACATCGACCTTAAAATTTTGTAACTCATGTACACGCCCAACTTCCTGAGCGGCTTCATAACACCAAGTCGGACAATAATTTTCATGTCTCCACCCTGGGCGATGGGACATTGCTGCGCTAGCTCTGCGTGAAGTTGTCGTTCTGACGTCCCTAAGGAAGTTGATACATGTACGTGTAGTTTCAATGCTAATCGACTGTTTTTTACATTACATTAACGATATCACATTTGTCGGACAAAAACCATGTGGCTTTGGGGAAGGTCCGACACCCCCAACATGTCGCTGTGGCGTCCCTAAGGAAGTTGATACATGTACGTGTAGTTTTAATGCCAATCGACTGTTGTTTGTATTACATTAACGATATCATATATGTCGGACAAAAAGCACGTGGCTTCGGGGGAGTCCGACGCTCTCAACATGTCGCTGTGGCGTCCCTAAGGAAGTTGATACATGTACGTGTGTTTTTAATACCAATCGACAGTTTTTTACATTACATTAACGATATCACATTTGTCGGACAAGAAATTTGAGACAATCAATGAAAAAATTGAAATTAGTTTGCCTTAACGCAACGTGCATATTAGTCAGTTTATTATTCACCACCCATATTAGTCAGTTTATTATTTACCTACTTTGACAAATACCTGTGGGGCCCTGTGTCATATTCCCTGATCTGTTTTTTTGATAGTTCTCCGAGTATTTACGGAAATTATTCTGTAAACGGTCATTCAAAACCACGCGTGTGAGAAAGAATGGATATTCAGTCGTGTTTTTTATGCGATCTCAGGAGTGAAGATTCTGTCCGACTGACTTTAATACTGATTTTATTTGTCCGACATTTACTACACATGTTTTAAAATTACATTGTTATTCATAATTATTTTTGTCGGACATACATGTATCAACTTCCTTAGGGTCGCCACAGCGACATTTTGGGGGCGTCGGACCCCCCCAAAGCCACGTGATTTTTGTCCGACCTATGTGATATCAATAATGTAACATAGAAAACAGTTGATTGGCATCAAAACCACACGTACATGTATCAACTTCCTCAGGGACGCCACAGCGACATGTTAAGGGCGTCGGACCTTCCCCAAAGCCACATGGTTTTTGTCCGACAAATGTGATATTGTTAATGTAATATAAAAAACAGTCGATTGGCATTGAAACTACACGTACATGTATCAACTTCCTTAGGGACGTCAGAACGACAACTTCACGAAGAGCTAGCGCGGCAATGTCCCATCGCCCAGGGTGGAGATATGAAAAATATTGTCCGACTTGGTATTATGAAGCCGCTCAGGAAGTTTGGCGTGTACATGAGTTACAAAATTTTAGGGTCGATGTACTGGGGACTATAACACAATAAAGGAAATGGACAGATTGAGTATTGATGTAATGGGTATCAAATGAGATAGCAAGGAAGCGAAAAGAAACACCACCTACTCGATATTTTGGATGGGGTACCACTACCATCTGCTGACAGGGACTTATGGAAGTGTTCTAGAATACTCCTTCAAATTGGTTCTCAAATCGGTAGGGGACGGGGTGTTCAGAAAACTCAATAAAATTAAGGGTTTTTCTTTTCTTTTGTTGAGATTTTGGATGGGATACTACTACCATATCTTTTGACAGGAACCTAGGGGATGAGGGGTTGAAAAATCAGAAAACTCAATGAAAATAAGGTTTTTTTTTTATTTCTTGTGATTTTGGATGGGGTAACACTTAAATCCTTCCATTATTGGCTGTCTGCCATACTCTGACAGGGTTATTTTGCCCTTTCAACATAAATCCTATTCAAATATATCCCCCACATGGGACAAAAGCGAAGAAGTAGTGCTAGGTAGATATTTGAAAGTGTTGAAAGAGGTGAACATAATAATGGGGGACTTCAAAGTTAAAGTTGGACGCGGAAAAGAGGATGATGGTTACTTAGTCTGGGACAGAGAAATGAAAGAGGAAATAGACTAGTTCAGTTTTGCAGAGAAGGAAGCGCGGTAATAACAAACACATTTTTCAAACGAAACTACCACCAAGACGCTTGTACAGGGTGTTTTTTTTATATATTGACACCCCACCTACAGCCTTTACCTTTACAGGTAGAAGAAAGGTGTAAATACAAAAGTTGTATAGTTTTGGGTACTTATGCATTTTTAGAATCCATATCCAAATATATAGTTTGTCTATATTTGGTTGAGCAGTCTCCTATATATTCGGCACTTAAAATTTTTAGAACCAAATATGTTGGAGACGGCTCAACCAAAAATAGAAATTGAGCCCGGAGCGAGGCCCGGAGGCATGCCGTCTTCAAATTCCGCTTTTTTATTTTTACCCTTGAATATACACGCAGGCGGTTTGTAAAAGCCTTCTGCATTACAACACGAAATCACTGTTATTGTTTCTCCCTTTGCAGATAATGTGATTGCAGCAACATTTTTTGAGCCTTTCTCCCCAATAACATACCTACCTGGCTGATTGTTCAATTGCAGACCCGTCTTGTCCATATTACATATGTGACCAGGCTTGCTCATTAAACCAGCTTCCATTAATGTTGTTTCCAATCACTTAAAGTACGACGAGACTTCTGTTTTGTTCATTCCTTGATTCCTTCAAGCTATCACTAGCTCACCGTTTAGGGTAGGTACCTAAAAAGACTTGCAAATAACTTCGAGGGTGATTTAACGGGGTAAAACTAATGATTGCGATCCATCGAAAACAGGGTTTTTATGAGAATAAGATAGATAATTTAGATAAGATAGATAATTTATTCAAGTAAAATAATCAACAAGTTATTTGCAAAATTACATCCCACGTAAACACCGTGCTCCATACAATTTATTTTATCTTTTCATTTTAATGTCATTAACCCTACAAAATGTATCAATTAGCATCACTACAATTTACAGAGGGAAACTAAATTTAATTAACCTATCAAAGCAAAAGTACTTATTGGTACCTAAATAACAGAGTTATTTGTATGTAAGAATATTATGGACATTTCCAAACTGGTGCTAAAAGTTATAGGCAGTACGAAGATACACCGTCTAGGGTACCTAAAAAGACTTGCAAATAACTTTGAGGATGATTCAAGGGAGTAAAACTAATCAGCGGCGTATCCAGGGGGGGGGGCAAAGGGGGCAATTGCCCCCCCCCAGAGCAGCAACCTTTTATTTCTTAAAAATATCTCAAATAACAAAAAATAATATTTTCTACTCGCGTGCGCAAAGTAATTACTTTGCACACTCATTTGCGTGCGCAAAGTTGCGTTTATGGATAAACTAATATTCAAAAAGAAGGGCTTGATGTTATGTTTGTTCCAAGAAAGGTTTTCAGGTAATGTTTAGCATTTTTAATTTGAAATTTTTCGTATGAGGAGCGAGGGGAGGAAAAATCCAGCAAAAACAGTTAGGTGTGAGGTGTGAGGTCAAGTGACCATTGGCGTGGGCAGCCACCCACTCATATTCCTCCTGACTAGTCCTGACTTATTTGTTTTTTAAATTGTTGTTTTTCAAATTAAGAAATGTTAGGATTAAATTTTATAGATACATTTTTGGAATTTTCATATGTATAATAAATAGGTAGTGATTTTTTTACACTATTTCACTATTTTTCATTGCATTTTTGACGTGTGTAAGTTCTGAGTATAATAACATTCCTTTGGAGTATCAGATCATTAAAGTTGGACAGTAAGTTATACTCCTCCATATACTTCCCAACCCAATGGTGTCGCGGAAAGAATGAATCAGACACCAATGGACAAAGCAAGATCTATAATAATGAAATAATGCAAGCAAAAATGGACAGGATATTTTGGGAAGATGCTGTACTTGCTATGTAAAACTAATTCAAAAAGTCACATGAAAAAATAATCATCCTGGTATAATAAGTTTAGTCTCAAAATTAGGCAGGAAAAACAAATTCTAAGTAAACCTCGCTA